CCACCAGCCAGTCCCACCGGGTTTTCTGTCCAGAGGGTGTTGAAAATGGTTTGTCCGACTTTTACAGACCAAGGAAGGAAGATTTCAGTGTTACCTTCTGAATATTTGGTCATTTCCACCTATTTTCAGCTCTGTACGAAGCAAAACCTCATAAAACTTGCAGGTGAGCCCAAAGCCAGGCTTCCCCAGGGGGGATTTGGGCTGCCTGGGCATCGTATCTTCACTTTTGCCCGCAGTTATGCACAAGAAAAGGGTGTTTGAAGGTGCCACCCATCTGTCCACCCCAGCAGGCATGGCAGAGGCAGGTCGAGGGGTCATCCCCAGCGAGGTGATGCGTGTCTCGATGCTCGATGTTAACAAGGGATATTGCCTCTGCGTCCAGCTTTCGCACGTTCACCGGGAAGCCAGGGGGAGGGGACGCCGAAAAAACAGACAAATAGCATTCAGAAGGCTCAAGGACGTGTTTTGCCCGGATTGAGCTCGAATCTATATGGCTCGCTTGCAAGATGAGGAGGTGTTTGGACTTTCAGAGTGTTTTCCTGGGCACCGGGTCTTGCTGGGTGTGTTCTGCCCCAAAGAAGAAATAACAAGCAGTCATGTCTGGAAGATCAAGTTAGAAAATCTTCAAATTTAGAAGGTGGAGGCATGTTGTAAGAGAGAGGGTGAGTAACCGTCGAAACAAGCCAGCAAGGGAAGTGGCAAGTCCTCCGTCTCTTCGTGTCTTTAAATCAAGACAGAGCGCCTTTCTGGATGAGACGTTTTGGCTCCCGTTCCCGGGAGTAACGAAGTGCTATTTAACGACCTATGATAGATGGGAGGTTGGATTAGATCATCTAATGATCCCTTTATAGCCCTAAACTCTATAGAGACTCTACAAATCACTCTTCAAACCACCACCCCCCGTTCCTCTAGTGGCAAACCGGAGCCAAACAAGAAGCCTCCAACCCTCCGGTTCGGGGGATTTCGCCCTGCCATGGGTTTTAGCCGGGCCAGGAGCATCCTGGGTAGAAAAGCTCGAGCTTTGGCATGGTTTGGAGAGCCTTGGGAGATGGACAGTGGGACGAGGACCACGTGCCTGCAAGTGAAGAGCATCCCACCCGATTGCTCCGGGCAGGGTTGGCCGCGTCGCTCCCCTTCAGTGCCGTTGAACGCCGAAGCGTGGCTGCGTAGCAAGCAAAGACCCGTGGCCCTGCGGCGGGAGGATTTGGTGTATGAAGTAAGATGTTGAATTTCAATTGAATTTTTCCCCTTCCCAAACCAGCTGCTGAAGCCTCCTGGATTACCCCGTGCATTCCTGACCCCTTCCGCGATGAGATGCGCGGCTTTAAGGCGGAATGACGGCTGGAGGAGGAGAGAGGTGTTAATTCACCGAGCAGGTGCCGCGGGGATCAAACCGTGTGATGGCAGAGAAACCAACCCAGGGCAGAGGGGTGCGGCCAGGGACGGTCCCTTGGGGAGCTGCTGGGGCTCTGCTGGCGCCCGGGGGGGTTATTTGCAGGTAGCAGCGGCTCGTGGCTTTCCCCAGGCCTCGCTTGGGTGCCGAGGCGGCGCAGCCCATCCTTCTCCCTCTTCTCCTGCCTCACTCATCTCCAAATATTGGGCAAACAACAAGTGGAGCTCGTGGCACCATCCTCCAGGCCCTGGTTCTCTTGGCAGCTCTGGGTTGGAGCATCCCTTGCAGCCCTCCTCCTCATCCCCGCCTGGGGAGGCATCCGGAGCGTGGAAAACCCAATATCTGGTGTATTTACCCCGAATCGCAGAGCTGTTGGCATTAAGTCAAGGCTGCGCCGGGGAAGGTGGGCACGTGGGCTGCCGCCGTGTCACCACGGGGTGCGCTGCCTGCTCCGAGGGGAGGAAGGAGTGACGTTCGGAACCGGCTCGGCTCGGAACGGGGTCTGACCGGGGTCTCAGCCAAAAGCAGAGCAGCGGTCGGTGAATCTCGAGCTCTTCTGGCGCTGCAAACCGCGCTGGTACAAAGCAAGCGTCCCGCCCTCGTGGCTGCTGCCTCTGCTTGGAAAACTTTGGGGAAAAAAGGGAAGAAAAAGGAAATGAAATGTTGCAGGCAGCTGTTTGTGTCTGATGTCTGCTGCATTAATGAAAGGGATAACCTCCTGGTGCCATCGGTCCCATCCAACCCCGTGCAGAGGGATGCCGAGCCGAGCGCTGCCGCCCCGGGT